TGGTGGCACATGCCTTTAATCCCAGCACTTGGGAGGCAGAGGCAGGCAAATTTCTGAGTTCAAGGCCAGCCTGGTCTACAGAGTGAGTTCCAGGACAGCCAGGGCTATACAGAGAAACCCTGTCTCAAAAAAAAAAAAAAAGAAAAAGAAAGAAAGAAAAAGAAAAGAAAAAAAGAAAGAGAGAAAGAAAGAAAAATAAGAATGTATGTTTGTATGTATATTAGAATAAAATCTCAAAAAAAAAAAAAGTAAAATAGAGAAAGCTGTAGAGGAAGACACCTGATATCAAACTCTGGCTTCCACATGTACATTTGCATGTACACATATCCATATAAACACATGATGTGCATGATGTATGTGTGTATGGAAACTGGACGTATGGCAACAAACTCTTCAAAGTGTGTACTGAGTACGTATAAGGGCCTAAGTCCATACCCAGTACTCCCATTAAAGAACAAAATAAAGTGTGGGCTGGAGAGATGGTTCAGCGGTTAAGAGCACTGACTGCTCTTCCAGAGGACATGGGTTTGATTCCCTCCACTCACATGACAGCTCATAGCCAACTGTAACTCTAGTCCCAGGGGACCCAACACTCTCTTCTGGTCTCCACAGGCACCGCATGTACATGATGCACAGACATACATTCAGGCAAAACATTCATGCAAATGAAATAAAAGAATAAATTAAAAAGCACTCACATAAAAATGTTTCACAGACACAAATATATTTGTGAGTGAGTGAGCGTGTGTGTGTGTGTGTGTGTGTGCGCTCGCACGTGCGCAAATGGAAGGAATTACAATATGCACTGTGATGTGATTGACCCTGAGGGCAGTGTGAGTGAATGAAGGTAGTTACATAATCTCTGTGACTCCTTACCCATGAATGATATTAAAGAGTCAAACATATAGATGGAAAGCCAAAGCCAAATGCTGGTTGCTGGCGTCACTGCTGGGGACAGAGATTCAGTCTCCTAAAGTAGAAAGAGTTAGGGTCATGGTCAATAGTGCAGGTTGCATGACAGTGTAAGTGGTTAATGGGGGGCAAGGGTGTGACTCAGTTGGTAAAATACTTGCCTAGAAGGCACTAAGCCCTGAGTTCCAACCTCACCTGGTGTGTGGTGCACGCCTGCAATCCTGGCCTCTAGGAAGCACCGGCAGGAGGATCAGAAGTTCCAGGTCATTCTCGGCAACACAGTAAGTTGGAGGGCAGCTTGGATTCATGATATTGTCTCAAGAAATCAAAATACAATAAAATGCTACAAGCACGGCTGGTGAGATGGCTCAGTGGTTAAGAGCACTGACTGCACTTCCAGAGGTCACGAGTTCAAATCCCAGAAACCACATGGTGGCTAACAACCATCTGTAATGATATCTGATGCCCTCTTGTGGGGTGTCTGAAGACAGCTACAGTGTACTTACATTTAATAAATAAATAAAAAAATTAAAAAAAATGCTACAAGCAGTCGTGGTCAAAGGAGAATTGCCATGTTGTCAGTTGACCTTGTTTTCTGGGCTCTGGGGTGCAACAAGTACTAAAACAGAGCTAGCTGACTAGGAAGCAGGTCTAAATGAAGCAGGTTATCAGACAGATAAAGTTTTGTTGGATACGAGGGACTGAGAAATGAGGATACCCTTTTAGATGTGTGGTCAAGGAAGGGGCTGGAGCAGAGGCCAAAGGGAGGGAGGGAGGGAGGGACAAGGTTCTTTCTTCTTCTTGCCTTTCTTGGGAAACTGCCCTCTGCAGCCTTTGCTGTGGCTCTGACTTTAGCAGGAGAGGGAAGCCAGGCCTGTTTTCTCTCCTCCTTATGTACCCTCTGGTAGCTTCCACCTATCAATATCAGCCATAGAAGTTGTTACCTTCACTATGTGTGTATGACAAAATCCTACACACATGCCCGGTTCCTAACTCATACCAAAGAAATAATTTCTGGTGTGACTAGATGGCTCAGAAGTTAAAGGTGCTTTGAGTTTGATCTCTAGAACTCATACGGTGAAAGGAAAGAGCCAACTACAATAAGTTGTTCTTGGACCTTTATCTTCTCACCATGGCACATGTAGATCACTGTAAACCATTCAGAGGGCTGAAGAGATGGATCAGCAGTTAAGAGTACTTGTTGCTCTTGCAAAAGCTCCAAGTTCACCAGCATCCACATGAAGCAGCTAACAATCCCCTGTAACTGCAGCATCAGGGGTTCAATGCTCTCGTCTGACCTACATAGGTACATGCAGACACTTGTTCATATACCCACATACAGGTACACATAAAACACACCTCTCCATTTAAAAAATAATAATAACTTCAAAACATGTTATTATGAAATAAAGTTGAGATCTATTTATTTATTGGGTTTCTACAGGCATATACCATCATGTTAAATTTATACTGGGGAATCAAACCCAGGGCTTCTTGTCTTCTAGGAAAGTGCTGGGAACTGGTGGCAGGAACACAGGGATGCTTTCCACAGTGGTGGGTCCCAATAACACGAGAAAGTCCAAGGGGGGTTCCAAGAGCTAGAAAGTTTCCACAACAGCGGGTCCCAATAACTCGAGAAAGTCTGGAGTTTCAAGAGTTTTATTGTTCATAGTGTGTGATAGATGGTCTAGGTGCACCCCCCCCCCCCCAGTTTAAGCCAGGGGGGGAGCTGGCTTAAATAGAAAGGAAGAAAAGAGGAGGGACTGGGAAAAAAAGATAACTTAATTAGCTACACCCTCTAGCCTATAGGTAACTCATGAATATGGAAATCTCTTGAGGCTGAAGCCTGTAGTCACACCCTCTACCCATAGGTGGATGGTGACACAAACCTCTCTGGGAAGGGCTGCTTAGCCAAACGTGACTACAAGGCGCAGGTAAATGGAGATGTAGACCTCATGTCAGGTGTCTGAAATCCGGAGGCGTGGTGAGATATGTGCTGTCCCTGCACTGGCAATGAACACCTGTTGGGTCTCCAACTATCTCAAAACCAGTGCTCTACCGGAGACCAAATCATCCTATTCACAGTCCTACAGGAAAGTGCCAGCTGAGATACACCCCTGGCAAGATAGGGTTTCACTCTGTAGCTTAGGCTGAACTAGAACTCTCTGTATAGCTCAGGCTGACCTCCAATTCACAGCCATGCCCCTACCTCAGCCTTCTTGGTACAATGATCACAGGCAACAGCTGCTACATCTGGAGTTGCTGGTTTTAAATTGCATTTTACTTATGTATAGGGGGTGGTGCGTATATGCCACAACATTAATGTGGATTGTTAAGGGGCAACTTTAGGGAACTGATTCTGTCCTTGCATCATATGGGTCCTGGGCATTGAACTCAGGTGGTCAGTCTAGGTGGTAAACACCTTTACTTGCTGAACTATCTGTCCAGAAAGAGAGTTGGGGTATGTTAAGTACGTATTCTAATGAGGCAGATCCAAAACACAGGAGTTCAGGAAAAAGTTGCTCTTAAGGCTCTTAAGTATCATAACAATGTGTGTGTGTGTGTGTGTGTGTGTGTGTGAGTTTGTCATTTCAGAAGTCACATTGTTCAAAGAATATAATTTACAACCAGATTCAAAGATTAAGTAGAGTTTAAAAATTAAGTTAAAATACACGAGCTGGCTTATTTATATCTCTTATTGTATAGTGTTTCTTTCTGTAAATGAGATTATAAGACGGTTTATGAGGTTTGTTGCTGCAGTTTAAGGGTGAGGGAGGAGTCCTGAAAAGGTTAAACTCAAAGGTCACGTGCATTTCAGCACCCAGTATAGGTAGTAAAATATTTGCACACTCTTGTTGAGATAGCACTCAACAAAGAGAGGATTGTCTCTGTGCAGGTGGTTCTCGTGAGAGGTGTATGTGTGTGGTGTACCCATGTGTATGTGTAGTGCAGAGGAGGATACTGGGAACCCTGCTCCATTCATTTCCACCTTACTCTCCGCCTTGAGACAGTTTGTCACCTGTAGGTATACTAGCAGCTAGCAAGCTGAAGCAATTCTTGTGTCTCTGTTCACTCCCTAAGAATCTTAGGGTTTCCGTTTACTAGGGTTACAGCCACATCTGTCTTTCTACATGGGTTCTGAGGATTTGAACTTGGGACTTCATGCTCACACAGTCAGTTCTTTTACTCACTGAACCATCTATCTAGCCCCTCACAGGTATATTGACTGATAAGTGAAATCCTTGACTCTTAGCTGTTTAAGAAACGCAATCCAGTTCTGGGTGGTGGTGGCACATGCCTTTAATCCCAGCACTTGGGAGGCAGAGGCACGCGGATTTCTGAGTTCGAGGACAGCCTGGTCTACAGAGTGAGTTCCAGGACAGCCAGGGCTATACAGAGAAACCTTGTCTCACAAAACAAAACAAACAAACAAGCAAACGCAAACCAGATCCTCAGGTGAGGGCCTCCCTCCCACTCCCATGCTGCTTTGGTTTCCCATCCTCCTAGTTCCTTTTAGCAGCGGTTCTCAACCTTCCTATTGCTGGGACCCTTTTAATCCAGTGTCTCATCTTGTGGTGGCCCCCCAACCGTATAATTAAGTTGTTGCTGCTTCACAGCTGTAATTTTACTACTGTTATGAATTGTAATGTAAGTATCTGTGTTTTCCGATGGTCTTAAGCAATCCTTGTGAAAGGATTGTTCAATCCCCAAAAGTTGGCGACTCATCAGTTGAGAATCATTACCTTGTGCCCACAGTTACCACCTAGGTCAGTCTCTGCCCCTTCCTTGACTCCAGCAACTTCCATACAGCTTATACTTTTCTAGGTATAGACAGTTAGGTCTGTGGTCTCTCCTTGATAGAGTATCCTTAGCAAAGACCATCCATGACCCCTGGATTCCCATGCTCTCTGTCTCCTGCAAAGAGACCCATGTGGCCCTGAAAGTTTGACAAGCCACTCATTGCACACATACTGCTCATCCATCCTGAGATTCTGGGGCCATATGTGTTGTATGACACTACTCCCAAGGTGATGTGAATGAAGGTCTACTCACCTCAAATAGTGAAGGTAAGGAAAGTATATGTTCAATTTGGGGTATCAATATATTTATTGGGGTTACAGAAGTGTGGATGAGGAGTTACCTACAGAGCAAAGATGATTCAAAGGCAGTTATGATACTGAAAGTTTATCCCAGCAAGAGTGACAGCTCACGGAAGCTGGAAGGTTGGAGCTCACTGCACAACCTGAAGGCAGCTCCTCCATTCTAAGTGTCTCTCCTAGGCAGCTCAGCTGGTTGGGAGTGTCTCTCAGCAGTCCTTACTGCTTATAGGATCAGCAGTGTGGTAGTTGGGCTGAGAATTACCTCCTGTAGGCTAAGGTATTGAACTGAGGTATTGGTTTCTGGTTGGGAGTGTTGTTAGGAGAGGTTGTAGAATCTGTTGCTCCACTTCCGGTTTTCTCTCTCCACATTTGCAGTTGAAGATGCGATTGTTCAGCTTCCCCCACCATTATGGAGTCTTCTTCTGGAACCATAACAAAATTAACTCTTTTTTTTGTTTTGTTTTTGTTTTTTGTTTTTTTGTTTTTTGAGACAGGGTTTCTCTGTGTAGCCCTGGCTGTCCTGGAACTCACTCTGTAGACCAGGCTGGCCTCGAACTCAGAAATCCACCTGCCTTTGCCTCCCAAGTGCTGGGATTAAAGGCATGCACCACCACTGCCCAGCCAAATTAACTCTTCTTTCACTATGTTGCTTTTATTATTATTATTATTATTATTATTATTATTGTACCAGAAAGTAACTAATATAGGAAGGAACCTAGTGCATCTAGTCCTTTTCAGGGACTTCTTGAAGCTTTTTTAGTTCTTTCCCTTCTGAGTTTTAGCTAGCTCCAGAGGACATTGCTAAGCGAAAACACTGTTCTAATCTTGGAACATCTTTATCATAGGCTTAATACCAGCCCTAGTTCCCTTGGTACATTGACATATGAAGAGGTGACCTGAGAGGTGATGTGACAAAGCTGGTAGAACACTTAAAGCCCTAGGTCTGATCCCTAACACTACATAACTACTCGTGGTAGTGCACACTCCTGTAATCCTAGCACAGGGAAGATCAGATATTTGAGGTCATTCTTGGCTATGCAGTGAGTTTGAGTCCAGCCTGGGTACGAGAGAGAGAGAG